GCAGAAGTAAATATTTACCAAACGTTATTATAAAGGAGCTGTACAATAAAATGTGAATCAAATTAACTAAAATCAATCCATTAAAGAACTTCTTAATGCTACCACTGTCTTTTTTTTTTTTTTTTTTTAAGATTTTATGTATTTATTTGACACAGAGAAAGAGATCACAAGCAGGCAGAGAGGTAGGCAGAGGGAGGGGGAAGCAGGCTCCCTGCTGAGCAGAGAGCCACATGCAGGGCTCCATCCCAGGACTCTGAGATCATGACCTGAGCCAAAAGCAGACGCTTAACCCACTGAGCCACCCAGGCACCCCAATGTTACCACTGTCTTAAAAAAAAAAAAAAAAATCCCCCCTCAGGGGCCCGTGGGTGGCTCAGTCAGTTATACATCTGCCTTCTGCTCAGGTCATGATCCCAGAGCTCTGGGATCAAGCCCTCCTTCAGGCTCCCTGCTGTGGGGAGCCTGCTTCTCCCTCTCCCTCTGCCTGCTGCTCCCCGTGTTTGTGCTGTCCCTTTCTCTCTCTCTGTCAAATAAATAAATAAAATCTTAAAAACAAAACAAAACAAACAAAAAGCCTGAGTTGAGCCAAATTGCTCCCTTCTCTGATACCCACATACATACACATATAGAACCATCAGTCTCTGATAAGAAATGAAATTTGCTGGGGCACCAGGGTGGCCCAGTCATTTGGGTGTCCAGCTTTTGATTTTGGCTCAGGTCACGGTCTCTGGTCATGGGATCTAGCCCTGCATCTCTGCACTCAACAGGGGATCTGCTTTCCTCCCTCTCCCTCCGCCCCTCCCCTCATTTGTGCTCTCTTTCTCTCTCAAATAATTTTTTTTAAAAGGGCAATTTGCTAATTCAACAAGAATCCTAGGCATTTTAATAGTTTGCCTAAAAGAAGGGCTAGATTTTAGACAAAAATTTTTTAATGGAATTTACTTGCTGAAATTACTCTGAGCTCACCTAATCTTATAACCAGTTAACAATGCCATGACTGAAGATCGTTCCATTTAATTTATGTCTGATTTGAATACAATATGCAACATAAACACTGATTTCCAAGGCTAAGAGGACAGCTAAGCCAAATTTAGTGAGAACAGTATTCACACTGAGTTTCTGGTAAGTTACTTTCTCATCTACTTCCAAATAAAACCCAAAATACAATAGTTTCCTTTCATAAGGCTCCTTATCTACAACACAAACACAACTGATAACACATTCCCCAAACAGCATGATGGTTCTGCTGACATTGGGCCACATCCATGGGCTCTTCTGTGACTAATGAACTATTTCCACACCTGGTAAGAAAAACTTCAGTGGCAGACTTTTAGTGAAAAAGCATGCGTCTGACATTCCCATGTGGAGTAACGTGCTTTTCCTACAGAAGCACTCGAACAATTAACTATTAACTATTTCCAGCAATATGGCCCAGGAAGCTAAGTTTAAGACAACATTTTTATGACAAGGACATTAAAAGTCTGATTATAAAACTACCAGAACTCAAGAAATGAGGCACCCTCTTAAGGGCTGGGAATTTATCTCGTCTCACTCTGCTTTTCCCCGATTTCAGAGAAGACAGCAGGAACTCAGGAATGGCTAGAGTCAGGAGAGGAAGGGCTGCCAGAGCAGCTTGTCTACCTAACTCTCCGCCAACACTGCAAAGAGACAGTCCCTTTGCTCTTCTGCCCATCTGAAAGATGAAGAAGCATCTAATGACATTGATAAAGGGCACTCAGTTTAAAAAAAAAGAACGTTTGGGTGAGTCAGTCACTGTGTTTACTGAACTACTGAGGATTAGAAGACCCTGCACGGTCTTCTTGAGAGTGTAGAGATAATGGGGAAGGATAGTATTGGTCCTGGATCCTGAAAGCTTGTGATGAGTCTCATCTCTGTCACTTACTGCAGAATGACCACGGGTACTGGCGGGCTCTCTGTGCCTCAGTTTCCTCATTTGGAAAATAGAGATGACAGAAATAGTACACACCTCATAGGGGCTTTGTGAGGATGAAATGAATACATTTCACTCGGGATGATGTCCAGCCTACAGTAAGTTGGGTCACCAAATGTTTCTGATTTTTAAATATTATTATATGGGATGCAATCTCAACCTCTGGCGGCTGCATTTTGTCCAGTGGCAACTAAGTGGGCAGCAGGCTGCAAGTGTTTGGCAAGCTGCCACCACACTAACTCCTCTTTAGGAAATTAGAATCCACAAGTTTTGTCTTTTGCCATTGTCTTTTATTGTCCTGGGTGGACAGAACAATGGGAAGCCAATGACCATCGTCGCAAATACAGAGGCACTGCTCCTAACTGCCGAAGAAGCTGACTTGACCCAATTAAAAAAATGCACTAAATATTCTGGGTCAAAAATTGGAGAATTAATTCACGATTACACCAGTTCTACAAAGATCCCAAGGCAACTAAATGGAGACAAGACAGTCCTTTGAACAAGTGGGGCTGAAGCAACTGGATATAGAACGACAAAAAAAAGAAAAAATACGGACCTCTACCTTTCCCTTACGCCATTACAAAAGTTAGCTCAAGATGGATCAGAAATCTATATAGAAGAGGTACTATTAAAAGCCTAGGGGAAAAAAACAAGAGAAAATCTTTGTGACACTGGGTTGGACCAAGACTTCTTTTTTTTTTTTAATTAATTTTTTAAAATTAACATATAATGTATTATTTGCCCCAGGGGTACAGGTCTTTGAATCGTCAGGCTTACACACTTCACAGCACTCACCATAGCACATACCCTCCCCAATGTCCATAACCCAACCACCCTCTCCATACCCTCCTCCCCCTGGCAACCCTCAGTTTGTTTCATGAGATTAAGAGTCTCTTATGGTTTTTCTCCCTCCCGATTCCATCTTGTTGAACCAAGACTTCTTAAACAGTACGTCAAAAGCATCAACTATAAAAGAAAAAACTGATTAAGCGTACTTCATTGGGATTAAATACAGATTCTCTTTGAAAGACATAGTTAAAAAAACAAAAAAGCTACCAGACTGTAAAACATATAACGACTTCACATTATTTAAGAAGCTCTTAACAACTTAATTAAAGAAGACAGATAACCCAATTTAAAAATTGGGCAAAATATTTCAAGAGACATTTCACAAAAGTTGTAAGAATGGCCAATTACGAAACATGAAATGATGTTCAACATCACTACGCATGGAAGAAAAGCAAATTCAAACCACAAGAAGACACCATCACATATCCACTAGAATAGCTCCTGTTAAAGAGACTGACAGCCCCAAGTTTGGGAAAGGATGAGAAAACCAGAAACCCTCACATACTGCTAGTGGGAAGGAAAATGGCATGGCCACCCTGAAACATTGTACCGCAGTATCTTACAAAGTTATACACACATTGACCACAAGACTCCGCAATTCCAGTCCTAGGTATTTAACCAGGAAATGAAAGCACATGTCCACATGAAAGCATACACGTGAAAGTTCACAGCAGCATTATTCAAAAGAGCCCAAACCAGAAGCAGCCAAATCTGTCCATTAACTGGTGAACAGATCAACAAATTGTGATATATGCTTACCATGGCATAATATTTAGCAAGTCAATAATACAATCTTTTCATACAAGCAACAAAACAGAATCTCAAAAAGTGAAAGTAAAAGTGAAACTACAGACAGAGGGCAGATCAGTGCTTGCCCAGAGCGAGAGAGGAGGTTCCAAATGCAGGGGGCTCAAGAAAACTTTTAGGGTGAAGGAAATTTCTATTGATTCTGACGTTGTATACAATTATCGAAATATTCAAACATCACTTAAAACTTGTGAATTTACAACAAACGAGCAAGGGGGCACCTGGGTGGCTCAGTTGTTCAAGTGTCCAACTCTTGGTTTCAGCTGAGGTCATGATCTCAGGGTCGTGTGATCAAGCGAGCATGGAATCTACTTGAGATTCTCACCCACTGTCCTTCTCTGCCCTCTTTAAAGTAAATAAGTAAATCTTTTAAAAATTTTAAAAATTAAAAATAAATAATAAAACAAGCAATCCAAGAACCTTGTTTGTGTAAGGCCTACAGGTACATGAAAAGAATATCAGATCTCTACCTGTAAAGTATAAAATGTATGTCCATATAACAGTTGGTTATTAATAGTACAAATTCTCACTGCTTCTTTGGCCTTTTGGCTAAGATCAAGTGTATTAATAATAAACATTCTTTCTTGAGTATCCACTGTAGGCCCTAAAGAGTTACATTGTTTCAAAAATTACACAGGCAACATCTTTAGCTACCATTTGAAAAGTTACAAACTAGAAGAGGTCAGAGTGAAAATGTTACAAAGTAGCAAGTTTCCACACAAACAGCTCTTTATTCCTCATAAATATTTAAGACTAAAACTAAAACAAAGAAATGTCATTTAAGGATCAAAAAATTTTTTTATTTTCTTTTCTTTTTGGAGAGAGAAAGACAGAGCACACAAGTGGGGTCGGGGTAGGGGCAGAGGGAAGAGAGAATCTTACACAGGATCCACGCCCAGCGTGGATTAATCTCAAAACCCTGAGACGATGAGGGGCCAAAATAATGAGTCAGATATTTAACTCACTAAGTCACCAAGGCACCCAAGGGTCAAGAAGAATAGAAATAGTCCTCCACACACCCAAACCAAAGATTTATTAAAACCTTTTTATAAAGATACAGCTACATTTTTTTTAAACCCAACGCTCCCAGTTTAATTAATTTTTTTTTTAGATTTTATTTATTTATTTGACAGACAGAGATCACAAGTAGGCAGAGATGCAGGTGAGGGTGGGGAGGGAAGCAGGCTCCCTGCTGAGCAGAGAGCCTGATGTGGGGCTTGATCCCAGGACCCTGGGATCATGACCTGAGCCGAAGGCAGAGGCTCAACCCACTGAGCCACCCAGGTGCCCCCCAGTTTAGTTAATTTATCCCACTTAACAAGCAAACAGAAACAAAACGAGCTGGGGTTTCTGGGTTTAGGTCCTGGCTGCAGATGACTGAGCTAGGACTCACCTCTGTGGTTCCATCCTTGAAGCTCTCGCTGTAAGTGCTGTCCGGGGTGCTGCGCTGGTCATCCTTGAGGTAGGCGCTGTGGCTGGCCATGGAGGGCACACCATACTGAGTCTGTTCAAAGATAACCACACGTTGCTCCTCGCCGTCTCCCCGGGGATAGTGCACGGGTGGGGCCATGAAAACGGGTGTAAAATCTTCAGCTTTCACCACTGTGATTCCTGATACGGGAATGATGGCTGGGCTCTCGGAGATGTTCGTGCTGTATGGTTCCCGCTTCGAATTCTCCAGGTGGTCTTGATTTAGGGAAAGGTTCACTGGGACAGTCTTTAGGACCTGCACTCGGTTTTCTCCTCCACTCAAATTACTCTGGGCTTCATTGGTGCCAAGACAGTTTCTGCATATTGAAACCCATCCCCCCACACAAAAAAAACAGAATTAGAAAAGTCACCAACCTGCAACTCCTGATAAAATAACTGATGCAAGCAATCATCAGTGGACATTAAAGCCATCAGGGGAAAAGTTGATGGTGAACTTTACAAGGGAAGTAGGACATGTGTTTCCCAGTACCATGCAATCAGCCCACCTGTGAAGTGCAACTGGTGGGGGGTGGGGGAGGATAACCCTAAATTTAGCAAGCCTTCATATCTAACTCCCAGCTCTCAGGAAATACAGAAGGCTGGAAGAGATGACTTAAACAACATCAAAAAGAAACAATCATACAAACAGAATGTAGCACATCTTACTGACCTGGTTTCTTCAATAAGTTAGAGGCATGAAAAAAAGAAAGGAGGGTGGGAAGCTTATTCTAGATTAAAAGATTTGAAAGACATAACAATCAAGTAGGATGAGTAGATCTTGTCTGGATCCTGGTCTGAAAAACCAAAGAGGTATTTATAAGACAATAGGATCTTTGAGGCAATTGAATATGGACAGGGAACTAGGTTATATTAAGGAAGCATTGTTCATTTAGTTAGGTGTGATAATGATTTTGAGATTAGGTGATAAAACCTCCTTTTTATTTACAGATACAAAGGAGATGAGTTACAGATGAAATGACAGGATATCAGGAACTTATTTTAAAGATAATTACAATAAGGAAAAAAGAAAGAAAAGAGAGAAAAGGTAGAGATTAAGCAGGTATAACAAAAAGTTACCACTGCTGAACCTACAGAACTGGACGGGTATTTGGGGGTTCATTATACTGTTCTCTTTACTCCTGGATGTGTCTGAAAACTTTTTTTTTTTTTAAGATTTTATTTATTTATTTGACAGAGAGATTGCAAGTAGGCAGAGAGAGAGGGAGAAGCAGGCTCCCCGCCGAGCAGAGAGCCCAATGTGGGGCTCGATCCCAGGACCTCGAGATCATGACCTGAGCAGAAGGCAGAGGCTTAACCCACTGAGCCACCCAGGTACCCTGTTTCTGAAAACTTTCCAAGGAAACAGCTTTTTGAAAAAGGTGGGAGTGAGACAATAATTTGAAGGGGGGCAGTGGGAAGAATATTTTACACTGTTCTCTGGGCTAAACTCCTCCCAAGAAAAAAAGGCAATAAGAATTTATCATTAATATATTTTCACTAAACTGAAAACAACACGAGCTCACTGATATTCTTAGCACTGAATTACTTTTGGGGCTTGAGGGAGTGGTTTAACCAGGCTTATGTAAAACAAGATCTCTCAGATCTCAGACCTCCTGGCTGGTACAAAGAGAAAGGACAGGGTTTGGAAAATTAATTCTCACCGGGCTGGGATACAATACTTTCCATTTCTACTATAGGATTCTGGGAAAGAGAAGAAGCAAAGAGAAATTAGTCAATGGAAGAGTATGGTTAATAGCACCATGATTTTACTAGCAGAGTCCCTGTGGTCAGTTAAATTTGGGGTCACCTCTCACTTACATATGGATTATTCTGAATGATATGGACAAAAAGAAATATGTATTTTGTGTGGAGCCCTGCCCCCAATGTCTGTTGTTTTGGGTTTTGTTGTCTCCCCCGGCCCCCCCCCTTTTAAACTAGCATGATCTTTCTGGGGCTAACTAGCATCTCTCACAGAGACAGAAATATTTGACTAAAAGTGGTTCTTCCCAGACTTAAGCTCTCCTAGCTCCTCTGAGCTTGTCTAAGTCTCAAGCAGGACTACGTATGTATTTCTAGCTTTGATTTCTCAGACAAAACCTCAACGTGAATGAAGCTTGAGGAAAGAATGGTTTCACATGAATAAAGCCAACAGAAAAATACCTAAACTTGGAGTCTATCACAAATCTGTAGAAATCATTCTAGAAAGTAATCCTTTAAAGAATAAAACTGCAAACCTACAATCATTCTGCTTTAAATAATAACCTGCTTTCATGGTCATAGCAGTACAGTGACTCTGTATATGAGACACAGCGAAAATTTAGAAATTATGTTTAATCTGAGTCCAGTTAGCTAGATGATGCCAAACCCAGACCACCCATTTATGTCAGCATTTCCTAAGCTCCATTGTTTAGAACACTGCATGGAATGTTAATAGATGTTCCTCAAAGAAAGGAGTCTGCGATAAAATCAGTATTTTTTTTTAAATTGCCATAACAAAACCAGCCTGTGTGAGCCACAAACATCATGAACACAGTAAAGGCCCCCAGGCATTCCTTCACCTGTTTAATTTATAACCCAGAATTTCCCAAACTCATTTTACCCCAAACTCTCTTGTGGAGGATTAACTATTAATACTTGTGGATAACGTCCTGTTGGATATAAGAGGGGCTGGTCTATATTGATTAGTTCCCAAAGCAAGTGTCCAGTTTCCATTCCTCTGGACTTTGCACAAGCACAGACTTACTGCCATTGCCAAAATACTCAAAGTTAACCAACTCCTCTATAGCTGGAGTCCATTTCAGGCCAAATTTATTAATTCTTTAATTCATGCAAAACACATGAATTCTAAACAAGAAACTCAAGTCAAAATATTTGGGGCATTTTTATGAACAAACCTAAGTGAACTACAGAGTTGTGTAAACCTAGTCCACTCATCGGTACCATGTGAAGAGGGACTATGAGATATAGCACCCTTCTGGAACGTGTACACCCATCTCTGTGGAAGAGCAGTAGTTTTAGCAGCTAGAAAACCTCAGAAAGACGTCCAAAAAATGGATGAGTAGAACAAAGAAGGAATTATTGGGAGCTACTGACTCATCTGCAATATTATTTAAATTGAACTGAATATTACAACAGGAGAAAGAAATGCAACACTAAGAACGGTGCCTTAAATATAATTTTTTTAAAAATCTCCATCACGCCATTGAGATTTTCAGTTATTTTTCCAAGCACCGACTTCTTTATACAGTCAGTTGTGATGATAGCTTGCTAGCACATGGCACCATCATTCATAAATACACAGCGGATCAAATGAGAGCCTTCCAAATTATACTCAACCAGAAGTCTACTGAGTCAAAATTAGTCTATACGTGGCGGTTGTGTCTACACCTCACTGCCAGTGTTTTTGAAGGTGCACCACTGAAATCACAACCATAACCATTAAAATATGATGGGGGGGCTCTTTCATGTTGTTCTAAAAGACACTTCAACAAAAAATAATGGTCTCTTTTGTCCATTATGACACAGACAGAGCACATAATCTTAAGTATGTTTCCCCCTGACCCTTCTATGATTACTGATATATGAGTTAGCAGACAGCACACGCTCAGCTTAATAAATGGTGGCTAAATGGAGGGCAAGTCACGGCACCTGAAGAGTGTCAGGCTCTTTCCCTATCATCTCTGCTACCAACTAGGGCCCAGGGCCCAGGGCCCCAAGACAGTGTGGAGCATTAGAAGATCCCTTTGCAACTGCAAATCAGAAGCAGACAGCCTGTATCTTTGCTGAGGGTATATTTTGGAGGTGATGCACGGCCCAGGACCGGTGGTTGGTGGGGTCGCTCCCGCTGCTGGTCATCTAACGAGATCATGTCATAAGCAGTTCCTCTCAAGGCCAGGTAAGATGCTGATGTTCGCGATAGCAGGGGGTTTTGTTTCTCCTGGCTTCATATTTCCATATGAAAAAAGTCACTAATAGGAAAACACTGTGGCTTCTCCCCATTCCTCTGCAGGAAAGAGATAGATTTGATTGATGGGTTTGGGAGAAACAGCTCAGTAAAGTGGGTCAGTCCTTTCTGGTTCCTTTTTCAGGTCTGGATCATCCTGGCCACAAAGAGAAGACTCCAGTCACTGCTGCCATATCACAGTGGCCTGTCCCTTCAGGGAGGCCTGGAGCCCTGCCTCCGATTGGGTGAGTAGACATATCTAAATCAGGATGGACATGTCACAAACTGCAGATTCAAAAATCTCATTCTCTATGGGCTTGATCAGAAAGAAAACTGATTTGTTTTTTCCTTTTTAATTTCAATCTATTTGGGTCTTGTTTTTCAATTGGTTCTTAATTCAGGATTGCAGGAAAGGGGTGTCACATAAAGATCTCCTAACATCTTTCCTGCCCCTGCTCCCTCATGGCGTCCGCTGCTACTCATGTTTCTCTACCAGTGGCCTCCTGGGGTGAGAGACCGTCCAGCCTCCTTCCTCTCCTGCTCATCAAAAACAATCTCTTCATGGCTCACTCCCTCAAGGGCTTGATTACAATTATCCAGCCATGGGACTGATCAGAAAAAGCTCACCCCTAAATAGGCTATCTTGCCAGCATTTCACCTCTAAGCAAGGATTTTTAGCTGTCTTGGAAGACGGTCTATCGAGAGCCTGCTGAAGACCCTTTGGATGCATAAGCAAATTATGCAATTTGCTCTCCCTACTGCAAGATCCAGTTTTGGTCCAGACTCTATAAAAGACAGAAGAAGCTAAACTTCTTAATCCCATCTCCTCTCAAGAACAAAAATTACAGCTTAGCACGGCTGTTTTCAAAAACACAGAAAAAGAAGTTATTTGGGGGAGCCGGCATATTCCTTTACATAACGCCATACCTTTTATCCTGCTCTTCTTGGCCATCACTTGCTTTGCTTACAGACAGCAGCCTCTTGTCTCGAGGAACCTAGAAATATCACCAACCATCAGTCAGACTTACACAGATGCAGCTGTGACTAAGCAGAAGACCAGCAGAAGCAAAGCACCTGAAATAGAACGTTCTCTGGGAAAAGGGGGCAGATTTACTGTAGGCAGCTGATGGTTAAAGATGAGTAGCATGAGTGGTGATGACAGTGGATCAGACACAAAGGGGTGATGATAAACAGAAAGCCATGATGATCACGGTTCTGCTGTGCACCTGCTGATATGGGCATCTCTGCCTGGACCTGACTACCCCAAAAACTGCCCCACCTTGGGAGCGAATGAGGGGAAAGGAGCACCATGAGTGGAGGTTGAAATTGGATCCTGGAACAGACAGAAATCATCTTGGATTTACAACAAGCATCCTCTCAAAGAACAGGGACAGACCCTTCACTCTGACGAGGGACTTCTGGTGCTGACCCAGAGGGGAGCCACCTGGGTACGGGTCCGCAGAGTGCAACAGGAGAACAGCAGCCTGTACCCCAGGACTAGCCTTTAACCACCACCCCTCCATAGCTTATAGCCTTGCTTCCACAATTTTTCTTCAAAGGCACTTTCCTTATTGTCTTTGAGACCACAATGCCAACACATTACTTGAAAGATGAGTGAGAAAGTGCTACTAGAGAGAAGAGGCGCTCCTACCAGCTGCATTCTGACCACCATCCAATCGTCTTACGGCAGCACGGATCATTCGCTTATCTCGGCCATAGTTTCAAACACATGAACAGTAGCTTTAAATTTATTTGTGTGGTTGGTTGGTTGGATGTTTTGTTTGTTATTTCTGTGTTTTTTTGCTACATTTCCAAATCTTCATGCTAGTCAAACTCCTTTGCACCCAAATGCAGTCTTCATTATGTTGACATAAAAGAGCCTTAATGAGAAGCATCCCTCTTCTAGATTCTTCTAGAAATTCTTATGGTTTCCACTCACCTGGATATATATATATATGCAAGCCCAGTCAGCTGGGTGAGGGAGGCAGCAAAGCAGTGTAGCTACCAGTCAACACCTAAACCTGAATGTCTGGGTTAGAATCTCAGCTCTACCACTAACTAAACTCTGCCTCATTTTTCCCATCTGTAAACCATGCTTAATGGCAGTCCTATGGCTAACAATGTTTTTACTAAAATTAAGTGAGTTAATTTTTTTCAAAGCACCTGAGTATCTGGTACTTTGTAAGTATTGTTAAATAAAATTAAATCAATTGTAAGTCTTTTGTTCACATGTCAATGTTGAGGGTCTACAAGGTGCCAGGCATTGCTAAGTGCTAGATGGAAATGAGCCGAATGAAACATAGCTCCTACCATCAACTGAAGATGACAGATAAACATAAACATCCACGGCATCATTATTCATAAGAGCCAAAAGCTAGAAACAACCCAAATGGCTGTCTACAGATAATGAATAGGCCAAGTGTGGTATAAACATACAACAGACTATTCGGCCTTAAAAATGAAGTTCTGATACATGCTCTAATATGAGTCTTGAAGACATTTAGGCTAACTCCCATGTGACTCAAATCCACCCGCTTCCCTCTGGATGTTTGCCTCCTGCTTCAGCCTCGGACATCTCCTGCCTGGGCTACTGCATCAGCCTCCCAACTGGTCTCCCTTCTCTTTCACTTTGTCCCAGCAAATCCATTCTGGATCCATTAAGAAGATCCAGACTGACTTTAAAAATGCAAGTCCAATCCCATTATGCTCATACTTGAAATTTTTCAGTGCTTTCCATTTCTTGAAAACACGGCTCCAAAAAGCTCCCACCTCAACTTAAGCGGGATCACTTCAGTGCATATAGTCACACTGTATCTCAAACATGCAACACTCCTCTTAGCAAACCCATCAAAGTTTTCTCTGCCTTTGGATATCCATTCCACCTCTGTAACTATCACCATTGCTGAACGGTCATAGCTAATTAGTGAATATTTGTTGGATGGATGGATGGACGGACAGACAGATGGATATACAGACGGACAGACAGATATTTAGATGGCTTTATAAATGGACAAACAAGCAAACCAACAAACTGGTTTCCAGCACTCCACAGAACAGATGGGAACACATTAGCCAAAGAAGCATATTTTCATAGAACTAGAATCAAATAATGATGAACCACCAGCTCCCTCAGAGGAAAATGAAGATAAAGTGAGTCAAACCACTTTTAAAATGCATTAAATAATGGAATCTGTCCTATTTTCCTGTCATGCCTGAAATTCATCAAAAGTTCACACTTGACTTTGGCGCTGCTATTGATAAGTAGCTTGAACTGGATAGAAAACTAAGCTTATACCTGACTCCCTAAATTTTGAGAATTCCCATTTAATATGCTTTGAATGGAGTTTTTTTTTTTTTTTTTAAAGGCAATTTCTAATGGTGGACAGGTTATGAACTGAATTGTATTCCTGCAAAAGTATCCCTGTAAATCCCTGTTCATGTGTTGAAGGCCTAACCCTCAATGTGACTATACATGGAGACGGGGCCTTTCAGGAGGTAATTAAGATTAAATGAGGTCATAGCAGTGGGGCCCTAATCTAACAGGACTGAAATACAGAGAAATATACAGAGAAATATACACCCACACATGTAGACACAGCCAGAAGGCAGCCATATGCAACGGAGGAAGGAAGAGAGGCCTCACTGGAAAACAACCCTGCCAGGACCTGGATCTTGGGCCTCCCACCTCCAGAACTGTCAGAAAATAAATTTCTGCTGTTTAAACCCCCCAGTCTATGATACTCTGTTATGAAAGCCATAATGGAACGGAATTAGGAAATGTACAGGATTATACTGTGACCTTGAGGAAATCCCACTTAGTGGCCTGAACTATAAAATATGAAACCTGATGGGCTTCACTGCAGTGATGCTATAGTGACAGTTTTAAAAATGTACATGATTCTTGATGCAAAAAAAAAAAAAAATACATAAGCAAATAAACATTCTTGATGCAAAAAATAAAAAAATTAAAAAATAAAAATGTACATGAAAAGACTTTGAAATGTATGAAGTATTATACCAAGATATGCCTTTGCAGTTCTCAACGACAGAGATCACCATTTCTTGAGTGCCTGCTGTGTGTCACACATCCTCTCTCTGATAAAGCCCCCTACTGTCCCAGGGGGTGATGTGGTCTAGCCACAGGAGTGTGGAAGAATGGTGCATTTAGCACTTCCAAAGAGGTATAAAAAAAATCTATAGAATTTAAGTGATAAGACAGCAGTAATTGTTACAATAATTTAATTTCCCAAAGCATACTAAAAAATACAATCTCTTGTTTCATTAGTATTTTACTTCATACAGAAGGAAGGTCTATTCTCAAAGTAGATTTAACTTCGTTTTAACTTGATACCATCATAGGTATGTCGTGATGGTCAGAGATCTGACTAAGGCCTGAAAATGATCATTTGCACACAGTTTTGGGAAACGAGACTAATTCTTTAATGTTTAAAATGTTTCAAGCAAAAATATAATAAAGTTTGTGTGAAATAAAAGGAGCCATGTAACTCTACTCATCCACACAGTCTCAGGAAACATTTTATTTAAATATTTTATATCCTAAAGTAATAATTTAATCCTGAAAAATATTAATTCAACAGAAAGAGTTATAGACTTGGCAACAAACTGAGTTTTATATAAATGCCCTATTCTGCATCTCAACACATTTACAGACAGAAATGTTTCAACTATCTTTTAAATATCAAAAACATCCAAGAGGAGAGGTAACTAGGTACCATATTTACTAACAATTATCCTCTGAATGTATGGGGAAATAAAATACATTGCTTTCATAAATTACTAAGTATTTTGTTCTGCAGTATACTTCTCTTTTCATTAACACAAAAGAATTGCCATCTAATACAGACATCTGAAATGATGTCCATTTCACAGTGATGGAATAAAATCTGTTTTTTAAAAATTACAGTATATGTCTTCAAAATATATCTTGATATGATTTTATCAGGGTCACATGAATGGTAAGGGATCTTTGGAAAGTATGAGAACTCTGGTTTAGGAGCGAGACAGGAAACAAGACTTGCAAACGTGAAGACTGCTGGAAGGACAGAGAAAGCAGGAAACAGGGAGGAAAACAGGCAGAAGAGACTAAAGCTTACTAAAAGGAGAACATTTCCTCTTGGGTGATCTCGTGATGGAGGAAGAGGGGGAGGCGGGGACTCAGTTCTTACTCTCAAATAAAGCGTTCACTGTGCCCAACCAGGAAAATAAACACAGCCATTCTCACCTTTGTGCCAATTCCCAGCATAAGCCAGTGGTGTTTAGAATCAAAGCTGGCAATAAAGCTCCTCATTCAGTAAATACGTGTTGATTTTTTTATACTTCACCAGTGCTACAGGAGCAGGTCGTACCTTTCTAAGAGACAGACCAGTGTTTCCCGTTAGGTTTCCTGAAACACTCCTATTTTGAAGGTATTGTGTGGCAGGTATTTTTGTAAGGTAAGTGAACTATACTCATTTTGTTTTAAAGGTTTTTCAAAATAAACATTTAGTACCCATCAAAACAAATGGAAACAGGGTTATAACAAAATTAGGTTTTGGAGGTACTGCAGAAGTCAACCACAAAATACTCACTGGAATATTCCTGATAAAACTAAAAAAAAAAAAAAATCAATAAATCTAGAAACCCCGAATGTTCTTATAAAATAAGAAATCTAAAAGCAACCTAAATGCCCCTAATTGAGCAATGACTAAATTAAGGTATAGTCATGCAATGTAATTTTTTAAAAAATAATCTCTACGCCCAACTTGGGACTCAAACTCTCACCCTGAAATCAAAGAGTCACTTGCTCTACCGACTGAGCCAGCCAGGTGCCCCTGTAACATTTTTATTCACCAAAAATCATAAAGTGAAAAATGGCAGCAAGGATGTATTTGTAATACGGTATGAAGCAGGAGATAATATGCGTGCACGACAACAGAGGACACAGAAATAAAGATCCCAAAATGAAAACTTCGTCCGGGTGGATGGCGAAGCTGAGCTCCCCTGATGGGAAAGCAGGGAGGCAGCGGGAACAGGAGCAGGCTGAATTCTACGGCCAGCGGCCAGCGTGGCAATACTCTGTTCTCTCCCCTCTTCCCACCTGAGAGGAGGGGCGTCTCTGGGGGCGGGCACAGGAGGGAGGCGGGGCTGCCGGATCTACCTTGTAGTAGTCGTAGAGCAGGCCCAGGGCGGCAGCACTGTCCTCGTCCCCATTAATGCTCATCATCGCCTTGGTGGCCGCCGTCAGGGGATTCTCCAAATACGACTTCCAGGCTTCATCTTCACTGGTGTAGGCCCTTCGCGTATTGAACGGAGGTTCACTGGGCATGGGCACTAAGGCCACCAGTCGTTTATTACTTTGAAAGCAAGAGAAATGTGAGGTTCATTATCAGGGAAATGTTCCTTTTTCCGCCAAAAATACACACATTGCATGGTTCATCTGTACTCCCCTGGAATGAGGAAGGGAATGCTGCCACACTGCATTTATAAAGCCACTATGCCTCCAGAAGTAAAAATGGTCTTTACGACATTAAGTACTGTAAGTTGATACCCTTCTCAGTTGATTTTTTTCATATTGTCATTCTAGGAGCCAAATCATTTTTATCTGACTGTCCTTTATTAATATTACCTGCAGGAAGCAGGTTTTGGTTTAACTCTGAGTTGTAATTATAAGTAAATATGTGCAATACATTAAATGTAATCAATACTAAAAACTTTTATCAAATTTAATCCACATTTGAAATTGCTTGCAAATTACAGGCCAATCCAAGTCTCTTAATTTAAAAATGGCAGTAGAAGCTACTGTGTAAATAAGCCATATTGCTGATACACTGCCTAATAAGGATTAATAATAAGACATTAAGACTCTGTCTGTGAATCCCATGTTGCCACAGGATCGTACTGTACTTAAACGACACAGAAGCTCCAGGTTATAAAATCTTCATGGAGAATGAGCAGAGCATCTGGAGAATTTTCAGTAGAGACAGAAAGTGGCTGGAGTCATTTGTTAATCCTAACCAAGCCAAACTTGGGTAAAGTAACAACTGATAAGGCAACTTCTTGCAGAGGATGGGACAGTGACTCAAATACCCAATACCTATGACAATCCTCAGCAGCTCCCTGGGCTGGGGCCTCTGGTGTAAAGGAGCCTGGAGAGGCTTTGGAACTTGTCTCTTGGCCCTCTACTGTTTGTCCATTGAAACAGAACCAAAAGGTAACGACATATTGTATCTCAGTAACAGCTCTAACTCATAATAACAACATGGGCAAGTGACAGGACCGGAGAAGGTTAACACCTGAACTAATGAATGGAAATTCAGCCACCACGGGTCCTCCACGTGACTCAGCTCTAAAAGAGGTACCTTTTTGCTGACTATGGTCCCTTCCAATGGGAGATGATCTCAGCTCACTCTGTGATAGAGAATTGGGGTGCACTGTCTACAAAGGCTGCGCTGGGGGCCCCTTCTGTGCTGGCATGGTGCCGTGCACTGGTATAAGGTCAGAAAAGGACACTTTTCGTTGTTGGTAAGATCAGGGAATGAGGGTGGGAATTTCACATTTAGTGGAGTGGAATTCTGAGCTAGACAGTCACCAGGCCCCTGATTTCAACTCTGCCGGTGGTTTGGTGAAACAGTTTGGGAGGAAAAAAACCATACTAACCCAATTGCAAATGAAGTGGATTCGAAGGGTTAATGATGTTTCTGGAAGTATAGGGTGGAAACCCTAGTGGAAGGGTTTACCAACCATGAGGCAGGGTGGTGCCATGGGCAAGCAGCGGGTACTGGAAGTGTATCCTTGCTCACCATTTACAGACATGCAAACTGTCTGAGTTTCAGCTTTTTCACACCTTACATAAGGACAGCAATGCCCACCCTGTTTAGCTCACAGTGTGATTGTGAGAAGCAAATACCCTAATGGAGAAAACAGAGCTCTGCAAACCACGCCATGCTATGCAAACAGTAGGTACCATGATCACTGCACGGTTCTTTGTTCCTGCAAAGTTTGTGGGTGCACTGTTTTTTGGTAAAGTCAATTATAATTGAAAGGTGTTAAAGACAACCATTTCAGAGGGAAACTGAAGTTGTTCACTTAGCAATATTCCGTAAGTGTTTACTGCAAACTCGATAAGTGCCAGGCATTATGCTTGTTATTGAGGACACGGGGGCACACAAGACAGACCCTTTCCCACTGTCCATACAGCTTGCAGCCCGGTGGAGAGAAGGCACCACCGTTACAAGAGCAACAGGTGTGAGAAAGGGAAATGGACAGTGTCATGAGGGTACAGGACAGAGGGGACCAACCTATCCAGAGGATCAAAGAGGAGCTGAAGTTTCGACAGAGATCTGAAGGTAGGAATGCGTTGTCGGTCCATGCTGAAATGGGCAGATGTGGGAAATATTTTGTAAAGGGAAGAACATTTTGGTAATTCAGAATAATGGAATTTTCTGCCAAAAGGAGCACATTTGTATTCATTTTGGAGTCAGCTATGGAAATTCATATATTCTAATCTAACAGTAAAACAGCATTTTCTTGTAAAAATTACTTATTTATACAGGATAGGGTTGGACTTGAGGACAGAAATGTGGGTGACATCCTGAGAGCCTATCAGTGGAAGAAATGAGGCCTCTGGGGAGAACCAAGAGAGGTGGTCAGCCCGGGTGTGGGAAGGCCACCCACCACCATGTCTTCCCTGTTGTTTAGCTGGGCACCCTGGGTGATTCCACCACTTAGAGGGGTAAGCAGCAAATCCTGAAACCTTATCTGTGCCCGTGAGGGTCCACCCATCACGCACACTTCCTAAAATGCTCAGTCCTATAGGAAGGAAGGAAGGAAGGAAGGGTTTCACGTTATTTGCAGTGACCTCATGATCAAAAAAAAATGTGGATCATATTCTCTTTAATGACTGAGAGAAGCACATATTGCCTGGCAAAGGAAGGTGTTAATTGCAACCCTGGCTAATTTCCACAAGTTTAGCAGGAAGTACCAGGCTGAAGGAGAAGGGCCAACTCCTGGTTTACTTACACCAAGTGGTATCCTGATTCATTGGAGAGATTTCACTTCAAGTCTTCCTTCTTTAAAGACCCTACTCCCCACCCCCACCCCTCGCTGAGTCTTCTGGATTGCTGATTTCATCGGTTCCTAGCACACAGGTTTAGTCATAAATTTGGATTCATCAGCCTTTCCCCTATGATGAAATTGTTGATGAATCCTTACATGATTAGTGGAAAGAAATATTCTGGGAAAGCACAACTTTACTAGTTGTTTCTTTGCACATTTTTGGTGACCAAAGGATCCTTTTATGCTCTTTCCTTTAACTGCATAATGACTTTGATTTTCTTTCTTCTCTTTTCTCTTTTTTTTTTTTTTTTTTTGGTTGTTGTTTGTTTGTTTGTTTTCTTTTTTTGGTTTTTGGTGTGGGTTTTTTGTTGTTCTTTTGGGGTTTTTTTGCTTCATAGATTATAATCCCTCTAGTACAGAGCTGAATAAAGCTTGATTTAATAAAAACAGAATAATCTCTGGTACACTAAGCAAATATGCAGATTTACAAAGAAAGGAAAGTTTCCTAGAGCAGATTTTACCAAAGTTTGGAACACATTCTGAAGCTGAGTTTCATCATCGTTTCTTTTGGAATGGTAGCTCTGCTTCAGCTCTGGTCAACCTTTTAAATATTCGTTTTGTAGCTTTAGGTATGGCGTGTTCTGGGTAGCCTTAAACACAGAGCTGTAAACAGCAGCTATAAACTTGATCCCTGGTCCTTCTTTGGAGAAAAGTTTAGATTAACACCTGAGAGCATTCACAGCAAGGCTAAAGGCCGTGTTAGGCCACACATATAACTTCTTTTTTTTTTTTTTAAGATTTTATTTATTTACTTGGCAGAGAGAGTTCACAAGTGCACAGAGGCAGGCAGAGAGAGAGGGGGAAGCAGGCTTCCTGCTAAGCAGAGATCCTGATGCGGGGCTTGATCCCAAGACCCTGAGACCATGACCTGAGCTGAAGGCAGAGGCTTAACCCACTGAGCCACCCAGGCACCCTCCCACGCATATAACTTCTCATTCTCTTTTTTTTTCTTTAATCCACTACTTCACTTCCGTGGATGTTGGGAGAACAGTTGAGAGATGACTCATGAGCGGAAGCAGGGAAAGAGGAGGGGCAGTCATGTGACTGAGAGTCAGGAACAGCTCCAGATCACTTCGCCAGAGGCAACCTACCATCCCCCATAAGCATTAACAAGAGTCTGATGCAGGAATGCTTTGCTAGGGAGAAGCGTAGAAACAGCAGTGTACGATGTCTTTACTTTCTAAAAATATGTGCAGTAATAATCAATAAATCCAGACATAAATCTATTGCATCAGGGACCACAAAACAAAAATGAGGTCATGACATAGTCACACAAATTACCACTTTCAATCCATCTCTCATCATCCATTTCTTTTGTAACTCCTACGAGGTTGCTGGGTTTTGTACTTTTTTGTTTTGTTTTATTTTGTTGTTGTTTGGCAGCGGGGGTGGGGGGGATGTCAATCCAGAGGAAGGGTGGTTTTAGAGTTGAATAAATGTCAGTTTTAATTTCAGTTTTGTCAATTACGGAATTTAGATGAGTTACTTTCCTTCTCTGAGCTTCCATTTTTCATCTGTAATATGTTATCAACCTTTCAGAGCTGTTCTGAAGGAACAACTCACATATTTAGAGATGAAGTGCCTGGCACATTACAGATAAATAGTTCAATTAATAATAGTTAAAAGTATTATTTCTCTTTAGAAATGATCCTATTATTTTTCTGCTCAAAATCCAATAGACTGTTTTCAGTTTTTAATCTTGAATTTTCTCGGATATTTCTTACTTTTCTAGAATCTTGCCTTTGTCTGGCTTCCAAGACATTGTATGAAGGTGATTCTCCTCTGCAGCCCATCAGTCCTTTCTAGTTTTTATTCTACTTCAATTCTCCTCTTATTCCTCTAACTCTGACAGTCCTGGGGCCTTTGCTCTTTTATCTCCATTACTGATTCTTCTGACTTTCACTGATCCTCTACCCTGGTAACTGACACATGTATGTTACCAGAGAACCAGTTTTGCACTTTCTGCGGAGATGCTCTGTTGTGAACTTCAACTCAACATACCCAAACTGAGCTCATCATCATTTCTCAGTTGGGTTCCCCTCACCATCATCTGTCCCTGGTCATCTAGAATCAAACCTTGTGTACTGGTTTAAAATACAGACTCTGGAGCCATATAACTGAGGCATAAATCCTGGAGGCACTACTTACTAGCTGTGTAACCGTGGACAAGTTAGTTCATCTTTCTGTACATCAGTTTCCTCACCTGTAAAGTTGGGATAGACCCCCAACTGAATTAGAA